TCAATTTTTATTTAAATTTTAATTGATTTTTTATATTTTTGTAGAGATTTTAATGTAGTTTCTAAATACATAAATTTTAATTATTAGATTTGAATTAATTATGAATAGGGAGAATATTAGCTTTATTATTGGTTGATAAATTATTAGTGGTAGTATCTAAATTTATTTTTTTGATTTCAAGATATGCTTATATTTTCAAGTATTTAATCTTGATATGTAGATCATCAAAAGATAGAATGCGGAAAATAGGAGTAAGTAATAACTTATTTAATAATAAGACATCATTTAAAATTTTATTAATGTTTTTTTTAAAGAATTAGATTTTTTAAACATTACCCATTTTAAAAAATGTTCAACCGTGTTGAGCACTTGAGCATGGAAGTGTGTATAGAATTGAGAAGGTCAAATGCGTCTTAGAGGGTTATGTTAAGCATTATTGGTGGTGCGTAATACTATATCGATTTAATATGGATTTAATAACGGTTATAATGGACTTTTAATAACGGTTCAGAACCGTTATTGTTGCAACACCTATTAAAAGTCCGGTACTTTTAACATGGGTTCAGGAACCGTTATGGAAGGTTTTAATAACGGGTAAATTTGAACCGTTACGAAAAAGTTTTGATATCGGATGAAAAGCAACCGTTATGGAAGACTATCCGTATGGGTTATTACAACCCATATTAAATGTTATACTTTGTCCAACTCTACTACCCCTTTTATCCAAATACTATTATCATTTTTTTATTCGTATTCTTTACACTCCAGTTCACATTAACAAAAAAAACAACGTTTTAAGATAATATCAACAACATATATTATTATAATTAACAAAAGTACAATTTATACATATAGGAGTATTTGTTATTTTGAACACCCTAAACAAAATTTGTGTCCAACTTAACAACATAGTACAAATTATGTCATAACTTCACAAAAAATGATGCTCATTGCTTCGGTGTCATTGATTTCTTCCTTCTGTGAATGAATCTCGGATGTTGAATGCCTACAAGTTATATAATGAAAGTAAACAAATTAGTAAACAGTTGAAGTAAATGAAATACAATAAGCACAAATTATTAAACAGTTGAATGCCTATAAATTGGCTTCAATCATAATACTTCATAATAATAATACTCTCTAGTCTATATTTAAGAGTAAGTAAAAGAAAATGAAAGCTAGAAAGAATAACACTACAAGAAAGTGTTAATAGTAGAGCCTAAAGCCCTGCTGTAGCTTGTGTGCCTTTGAAAGTAGTGTTTAGCAGAATAAGTGAAGCATTGATGAATAGTCCAATTCAACCGGGGCTGCCCACATAGGGCCCACTATTGTGTGATTATACTTCATTCTTTGCCTATTTTAGCTCTCCGCACATATAAATAAACCATGTACAATTAGTTGAGGTGTAAAGAATGGTAATCCAATTTTTAGGCTTTGGTGATTAGGTGAGTCATATCCAGTATTTAGTTTATGCTGCTACAGATGCTGTTTGTACACATGTCCCCTTCATTCTTCCCTTCCCTTCCCAGGTCCCCTTCCCCTATCCCCTTCCTTCCCTCCTTCTCCACCCGTCTTCCCTCCTGTCCCTATATATAAAATTCAGGATTTTTAAGGCAACTAGTCAAGACATAAGCACATATATCTACATAATAATGAAAAACATACTCAGCTCCTACCATCCTGAATATAGTAGTTATTAGAGTTAATCTCATCCTTTCCGGAATGGGCATCACAGAGTTTGGCATCTTCATAGGTTATCAAATGACGATTAACTCCTTCGGTTACCACCTTTTTACAGGTAGCCACCGGGAGTCCATCAATCACAAATGCATCCAGGCTTATGGCAGCAAATCGACTACCTGCAGGGACCATATGTGAGGCACCAACTGCCTCAGCAACATCACTGGCAGTGATCCCAGCCCTATTACAAGCATCAAGTCCTAAAACAGCAGGGGCAACAACAGAGGGGGCTTTAGTGGTGACTGATTCAAGAACAGCACCATCAAAACTAACCCAATGGACAGATTTAAGAAGAGCAGCAACCGGGGCTGCATTGCTCGGGGTCCATCTGGTTACCTTCATCACATAACCAAAGAAATCACAATGTTTTTTAAGCAAAACCTTTGGAAATCAGAGTCGGAATCAAAGTTTATCAGGATCCAGGGCTTTTCTAATTAGATTAATTAGAAAACGGGAAATGGAATTAGGATCAAAGTCAGAATCAAAATCTTCATCACATATTCGATTGAATTAGCCCAACGGAAAAACGGGTCAGAGAACCCTAGTGCATCCAGGGCTTTTCTAATCGATGGAAGGGGTGGGCGAACTTTAGGGAAGGTCCCAATGAGAGCAAATAGGAAGTGATACGAAAGAACCTGTATGTCGTCTGCAGAAAATGAGACCGCCAGTGTATCATTGGATAGACCGGGCTGCTTGGCTGGAAGATCCAGGAAGTCCACGTCGGAGAATAGGTGTGGTTGGGTATGCAGGCGTCGGGCAGAGGAACTCTCCCTTACGGCCGCGACGTAAGATGGCTGAGCGGTCGCAGCTTCTGGTCCCTCCGCCGGAGGCATCGTTGCCGCTCAGGCGTCGGGCGCAGTGTCGAAGCTACCGATGTAGAGAGATGCTACACGCGCCGGGCGCTGTGTGTGCTTCTGTTTGCCATGAATTTAAGCAACAATAAATACAAATCAAGCAAAGAACAATAAAAGTTGCGGATCAAGTGTGAAAGATTAGGTTAAAAATCTAAGAAGAACAAAACATACCATTAATCAATAGATAAACTCATAAGCTATAGGCTGATGAATTAAGCAGGGGGTAACGAACCTGCTACTTCAATTTGCCTGGTAACAGAGGAGGAGCGAGCGGCTAGGGCAACAGTCGGCGTGGTGATAACTTTCGACGTTGTGCGGGAGGTTGAGGAGCGGATGGCTAGGGCGACAGTCAACTTGGCTTTCTCTTCCGTTTCCAAATGCACGCCACTTTAATAATTTTGAGAACTATTGATAAGGGTTAAGAAAGAACAGATATGAAAACATATTTCTCTTAATTAAAATAATGACCCCGAACCAGATCTAATTTTATGAAAATTATAAATATGACCCCGTTTTTTTCTTTTCATATGGGTTATAAAAAACAACCGTTATGGATTAGTTTTGGATTTTACTAATTTAACCCATTCACCAATATCATATTTTTGTAATTATGAATTTAACCCCGTGTTACTATATCATAACGGTTAAATTTCAACACATATTAAATCCTAGTTATAAAATGCATATTTTGTACTAGTGTATGAAAGTGTATATACTAACAAACTACTACGTAGTACTACGTATAACATAATTCATTGGAAAACTATAGTTTTTATTCTACTTTCTTTGTGTTGATGGTAATACATAATTTGGTACTTTGTTATCCTAATAAAATGTAGATACAATAATGATGGTACCATGGACTCCAACCATGACCCAAATACGGAATTATAGATAAAGTCCATAACGGGATCACGCCCATAACATGATCCAGCTCATAACGGGATCACGCCTTAAATGGGATCAGCCCATAAAAGGGATTAATATATTAGCTGATGGGCCTAACTAGAAATCAAACCCACAACAGGAACCCACAATCAGGCCAGGCTGGACAGCAGACCTCGAGCATGAGCGGAGTTCTAGTGAGGTCGGGATATTCCTAAGGCTTACGTGGCAGGCTATCATTCGTGCATAGCTATCTGGCAGCAAACAGGAACCAACGGCAGGAACGTGGACTTAAAGGAACAATCATTGACCAACGTCCAAGACGTTATAGGAGTCTAATTCAATTAAACATGTAATTAATAGTATTTATTGTATCAGTTTCCTCCTAGAATACTAGTTCCTATAGTCTATAAATACTTCCTGTAAACTTCTTATCAAGGGACCGAAATCCGGGAATAAAGAAAACTGCTTTACGCTGCCATATTTTCATCTGCTCTCGTAGATATAGCTCTCGTAGTTGGATTAAACTCCATGAAATAACAACTTTTCCATTTCACAAAATGTTGGCATTTCGTTCATAGAAAAAAATGCTGGCATTACATTAACAACTACATATAAGCATTTTTAGCATTTAGAAAAGTTTATTATATTGTTATTTCCTAATTAAGCATATACAATTCAATTATTAATAATAATTTGAACATGATTAAGCAAGTTAACTTTAATTTTAACCAAAAGACAAAAACATGAATGTTTTAAGTTCGAATGACTTGCCATATTATTTATGGCCATTATTTAATATTCTTTTATATTTAGTTTTTAAAGGCTAGTAGATCTTTGAGATCATACTGTAATTATTACGTAGTATTTATGTAAAAGCGGTGTCAAGTAATTTTGCTAGTGTTTATATGACAAGCAAGTATGAGAATACGTATATTCAGAAATAGCTTCATTAAGCACGTATGATAATTGGTGATTAGCAATTTATGTATATGGCTACGGTCTCTAATCTAATCAGTCAATATTTATGATTTGAAAAGAAAATCATTTGGTCTTACATTAATATACGAAGTATATGCTATTGCTATTCCCTTTCAAAAAAAATATGAATACATTTTCACAATTCAGTAGGCCATTTTTGGATACTTTGATCCTGACATCACATTCATCGATTCATACATAGATTTGTCATTCACGTTTTCTCATATCCTGGTTTTCCAAGTGATATTTTATGCATTTACCTTTTTCCAAATCACTAAATGGACAAATATTTTTCTAATTAATTCATATTCTATTGTGGGTAAAATGTTATTTTACCCTCCATCCCGTCTATAATAGAAGACACTCTCACTATATTTGACAATGAAGAAAAAAGAGAGAACAGTAATTAAGATAGAAAAGGTATGAAGTAGAAGAAGAAATAGAAAAACAGAATATGGAAGAAAAAACGAAAAAAGTTCAAAAAACATGAATGATGGGGAAAAAAGTGAAAAAATAAACCAAAGAATATGAAAAATAGGATAACAATTCATATGCGAAGTACCAATATGGGTCAAATAATATGATTATACATGAAGAGTGACCTCAAGCGGAGAATAATTCTCAGCAAATAACAGCCAACTGAGCCAAGCAAATGGCAAGCCATAGTGAATTTTAAAATCAACCTTCACATTTCCTTTTCTATGAATCTGTTTGTGAGAGGTATAAATTAAAAACAAAGAGCCTGTAAATAATAACTTAACTCGCTCTATTCACACATAATGTCTTAGAACTTGTATCATACTCTATATGTATATATATATATATATATATGCTCCTAGTTGCAGTGGCTTAATGCTGGTTTGTCCAATTTTTACCTGCCTAAATATAAACTATCAGCCTATACATGTTCACATTCTCCTGCTGCACCCTTTGCAAAGTAACTCCTAACACTTGTACTGCGAGATAACTCGCTTAAAGACTCTTCTGGCCTCAAATCCGCAGGCGGGATGAAACAGTCTGGAGACAAGCCCGGAACGTTGAAGGCGACCTCTTCTATCTTCCAAGATTCTTCCATGCTGGTCTTGGTATGACTTATCGCCACATCACCAAAACAGTAAAGTGTCACCACAGACCGCCCAGAATGTGCAATCATGATTCCTTCAACCAGATGGTAATCTTCTATAGAGGAGTTTATGGTTGTTTCCCAAAAAACTGCATCCTCACCGGTAGATTGAACTCGAGTGAGATGTGAATCCTCCATGTGGACAAGGAGACCGGATTTTTGGCTGAAGTAACCGAAAAGGACGTGCCTTATGATCTCTGCAGGCCCGTCACTCCTTGCCTTCAGTGTCTGAGGATCAGCAGAAATCTTGAGGATGAAGCAATCCTCACCGTTGATTCTCTTCTCCCCAATGCATCTGGCACTGGCGAACATACTAGCCGTTGTTTTCGGATCCAGACCCTGAAAATATACATTATTAGCCCAAACAGATCAACAATTCAGGGATAAAAATCAGTTAGCACCGCGACTGAACCAAGTTTTCAGTGTCCTTTTGTTTCCATGAAAAAATCTTCGGAAAATGTTTAACGAAATATGAAATTGTACCAGGTAAATAACTTCCCATTTCCGAAACCAACAAGACATTTCAACATAAGCCAAAGGGTATGTTTAGATCCCGGAAAAAATGCTGGAGGAGGGACTGTCAGGGATGTTATTTTCTAATGTTTGGTTTGACCATGTAAAGTTGAAAGCAAAATGAAATGGCATAAGTTTGGTTTTCCACACACATATAGATTCTTTCCTATTTTCTCTAATAATTTCCTCTCCTTTCTTTTCCTAGCATTTTCTATGTTTCAAAAGGAAACTACAGAAGGAAGCAAAAACCCTTCATCTTATGGTGCCAAACACAATTCAAATATTTTCTGGATATTGTATTCCAATATCAAAAACACAAAATTGAGAAAAGAAATCCAGAAACTGTTTTCCTTGGTCCAAGTAATTTCCCAACCTGAAGGGCTCGTCGGAGTGGACGGACTGGGCCTTTTGCAGGGTGAGCACCACGCCAGGGAGAGTGTTTCCACACAATCTGCCCATTACAGCCAGCATGGACCTTGCTACCTCCAATGGCAAGTTCCATGTACCACATGTCAGGGTTCATTTGCCACATCACAAACCCGCCTGACTCAGTAGCTCTGACCCCATTCCTATTCTTCACTACTTTTGCGGGAGTCTCTATTTCACAAGACAACATCTTAAGCTTTCCCATGGCATACGCATTCTTTATTGAGTTCTGGAGCTTCTGCCCTCCACAAGCTGCAATGTATTGCTGCAGTATGTACTGTGCAGAAGATGTTTCCTTCAAGAATAAATTATACTGAATCAGACAAGGCCCACAACGAAATAATGACAACTTCATCCAAAGAAAGATAATAATCATAAGCAGCAAGTAATTTTCCAATTAGAGCCTGTTTGGCAAGTGATTTTTGCTCATCAGCCGGATTACTAACCAAGCGCTAACTTTTCACTACTCCAGATGGATTGGCTCATGATGAAAAAGAAAGTGTACCCTGTAGAGGTCACTTTTTGACTGGAATAGCTAAAGTAATGAAAATGGAACATAAAACTTTATTTTTGACTGAAAAATAAAGTGCAGAGGTTACTTTTTGACTGAAATAGCTAAAATTAATGTATGTTTCTTCAGAAAAAATTGAAAATAAACGTTTTGGATAACTCTGCAGAATCAAACCATTGGTGACAATTGCAGCAGATTCAGTAGTTTTTGCGGCCACTAAATTCATTTTAGGCATTAAGCAATGACCTCTCAAGTAATAAAGTAAAAGCCTAAACAGTGGAATACATAAGCTGCATTACACTTTGAGCTAAAATGGTAAGAGTTGTAAGGCTATTAAGAGCAAAGTTTGGAAAGACGCGTTAGCCGTAATTACAAAATTTGTTGACATTTGATGATATCCAGTTCAATCAAATTATTATTAAATCCAAAGATAGATACTCCGTTTACTTCGCTTATGCTAATGATAGGTGGATAGATCAAAAGGGCTCTTATTATATTGAGAATAAATAAATTGATGATAAGCAGAACAAGCTACTTTTGGCTTGTAAACGGAGCCTTCATCTTTGACAAATAAGGTACCAATTTCAGGGATGATTTACAGCGTTTTTCAAATAAAGTGCAAAAATTTAGTTCTATTCTACTGCTCAATGATGCTGAAATTTAGCAGAAAATGGCAAAAAAGTTGGTCGCTCTCATACTCATCGTGAGACCATGTGAACTGAATTATGGAGTAACAGTGAGATGCACACGACGAACTGAAATTACAGAAAAGACACTTACAATTGGAATGTCCTTTATGCTGAGGTGAGGGAGAGGATCGGTTGTGCTAACGTGCACCGGGGCGAGTGGAGCCCCCATAGCTCCGAGCAGCAATCTTAGATCAGAGCTCCGACCGTACCCGTTCATGGCGACAGAAGGGGTCCGAGTGAGCTTCCCCTTCATCCACTGGCAAATGCTTGACCCAACCCGCTTCGGTTCCCCCTCAACGTCGTCGTTTGTATCCGGACCCTCCATCAACGGCGCCAGCATCTCCCCGAGCTGCCTCATACTCCCCGATCTGGAAATCGACGGCTCATTATTGGCGGAAAACCGACTGCTGCAGCTCCCACTCTTCTTCCTACAAAGCAGACCCGAGAAGGGGGCCCCACGTCTGACCGAACCATTATCCCATGACTTCCTCGCCGGAGAAAATCCTCGAACCACCTCTTCCTTCAACGCTGAAAAGAACCCCTGCTTCCTCTCCATCCTCTAAACCCTGAAACCCACCGTACGTATATACGAGTAAGAATGTGTCGCAATCTAGAGCCAGAAACCACGAGATTGTGACTGAGGTTCTGTCATCGTGGCATTTCCTTATACAGATATATTAAACTGAAAATCTCAACACAGAAACGAAGGAGAAATGGATAAGGAACTGAGAATGGCGATTCCGCTCCAATGCCTATGCATTGTTACTATTAAAATAGGCCATTTAAGAGAAGTAGAGGAGACATAGAGAGACGGTTTGAGGAGAAAATGCAGGTTTTATTTTGCTAGACTGGAGAAAATAACGGTTACGAGGAAGAAGAGGAAGAGTGGCGTGAGGAAGAAAGAGTCCTCCTCCTACTTGGCTCTGGCTTGTGTAGTAATCTCTGGCTAGTGGGCGGAGCACGTGTACCACGCGCGGTATGGTTTCGTGGTCCCACCTGATATTTATCATCATCATTACACGTTAGTGATACGGAATTTCACGCACAATTTAAAGAAAGGACAACCGGGCACCCTTTAACACTTTTTCAGATTGTTTTGCACACTTTTGCGTCGGTGGTCGTAGCTCAACTGGTAGCAACAGAGTGTCACAAGAGTTAGGTTCCAGGTTTGAATTCCGCCAACAGCGATGAAGGGTTATTATGCTAAAAATGCATAGGACCAATGTACCCTCCGATCGAGGTTGGAGACACTCAAGGATGGGGTGTCATCCTTTTTTTTGCAGTGTTTTGTTTATCAAGTAGGAAAAGATGAAATTTTTAGGGACGATCGGAAAGGACAATGTAATGTTTATTTAGGGAGAGAGGGAGTATCTTCATTTCTCTACATTGACATATTACATATGATATAACGGATTACTCATTATTAAGAAAAATGAGTTTACGTACTCCCTCCGTCCCATAATTATCTTCATAGTTACTATTCACATGGTCAACTCAAATTACTCTTAACCCTTTACTTTATATATCAAATTTTTATCAAACTTAAATTTTCTTGATCAGACTTTGTAGCGAATTTAGTGTAGTTTCTGAATATGTAAATTTAATTTACTAAAAATAATCTGAATGTGAACATGGATCAAGTTGCTTTATCGTCAGTCAAACATCGTAAACCGAACTACGAAGATAAATATGGGACGGAGGGAGTAGTTGATATTGAATTTATTACGTAAAAATAGTTTAAAATCATACAAACTTTGGAAAATTACGGAAAATGTACTTGTGGTTGAACCCGTTTTCAGATAGGATCATGTGTTTCATTTGTTATCAAAATGGTTCATGTGTTTGAGTTTCGTTATCACAACAGGATCCTGACAGCTGACGCCATTAAAAATAGTCGGAGGAAGACGGTGAACAGTAAATTCAATTTTCAAATGTGCGTGAAAAATTAAAAGTAAAATACTGGAAGGTGCGCCTCAACAAGATGACTGCTAGGTCATCTTTCTTTTTGTTTTTCAGCCACTCTTGTCACCGAAAAGTCCACTAGAAAAGTGATAATAGCAAATTAATTTTTAAAAAATTATCCAACCAGGTCGGAAAAATCCAAAAGCAAAAGTGGTTTGGAGGTCATCTTGATGAGCCACACCTTCCGGTATTTTTCTATTTATTATCCGGGCACATTTGGAAATCGGAGTTACTATTAACCGTCTTCCTCAGCTGTTTTTAACGGCTTGACCCTCCTGTGATAACGAAATTCAAACACATGAACCACTTTGATAAAAAATGAAACAAATGACCTTATCTGAAAACAAACCCAACCAAAACTACTTTTTCCACACTTTTCCTTACAAACTTTATCAAATTTAATATGAGACCATCTTAATTCATTTGAAACACCTTCCATTCGGATTCGCTCGGTTCTCGAATTTTGGGTCTTTTTTTCCCACCCTAACCTTTGCTTCTTTTTATATGCATGATGATTAATCATGCTAACTCATGATTAATGTGATGAGTTAGCATTTCACATGTGATTCATCTATCTTTATCCCCAACATGTGCATTAATTTTGGGCATAAACATCCATGCCAAAATTTAAGTGTGGGGTGCATATAAATTTGGATAGTTGATCGTTTTTTGTCATTACGGTTACCATTCTTAGGAGATTTTTGTATTTTTAGGAAAATATGGTTACTCTTGTTTTACTCTTCTTTAAACATTAGTTATGTATATTATCTAGGATTTTATATCTGCAAATTCCATAACCCTTTTTTAAAATGGAGAAGACATTACTAACTCATCTGTCATCGTAATTTCTTTCCGTGAATAAATTCTAGTTTAAAATTAGTCATTTTGAAGCTAAACTATTTTGTTGAACACATGAAAATTGAACTCTATTTCTCAAATGACCTGTATTTTACCTGTTAATGATTTTGGTATTTTTTGTGGTGCCTAAGGTTCGAGGGGTGAGTTTGCTAAGTTCAGTGATAACTACTTTTAGCACCGTTTGTGTGCCCCAAATGGGGTAAGAATAGTTTTGTTTCTAGAATCATAATATCTCGAGGATTACCTTGTAAGGAAGGATTCACATTCTTAATCTCAATTAATTTAAACATCTTTGTCAGGTTGGGATCAAAATGGAGTATAATGTCTAGCATTTAAAAAATAAAAATAAAAAATCATTGGACTTTTTACTTTTCTAAAATCAAACAAAGGTTAAATTAGATTTGAACACTTTTGCATTTTTGCACTAATTTTCGCACAATTCAAGTATACGTCAAAGCATCAATTTGCAATGATGGTATACCTTAGTTGTACACCCACAATTGCTCCCTCCATAGAGATAGATGATAGTTTTTTTTAAACGGAATGATAGTTCTTATTGAATTGTTTTGTTGAACATACTTCACTTAGAAACAGTCGCAATCGGGGGTGGAGGCTGCGGAGCCAATTGTATGGGTAAGTGGGACATGCCGCCTCCCCCCATTTTTTTATTTTTTTTCTAAGTACTACTAATATAATATTTTTTGCCACCCCAAACAAAATTATGAAAAACTAAATAATGATTACGTAGTATAAAGAAAACTTTTTCACTCTTATGATCTTATCTATGACTTTTAACTTTAGAGAGTATTGAGCACATATCTCCCTAGCGGCTTAGCGTCGCGTAGTGTTTTGTCCCCCTAGCGGCTGTATCGTCGCGTAGGATTTCCTTCCGTCAATTGTTTGTGTGGCTCTTCTTCAATTCTCTAGGTTTCTAGAGTGCCTTTTAAGTCTAGATTGTTGGTTCTGGTTTTGGGATTTAAGTGCCTTTCGGATTATCCACTCTGCAAGTCAATCTTAAAGGAGGCGTGAGTATGGCTGCAGCTTTTGGAAACGAATCCAAGATTCAAGAAACATTAGGTTAATCGTGTCTTCTATGGATGATCTAGAGCAGCATTGTCTCATTCTTGCAATTGAGGAGGGGGTCAAATGGTTAGTTTCTGGTGAATCAACATGGGTAGAGGGTGGTGCTGGTAGTGGAGGCAAAACGAGCGATGAGAAATGGGGAGATGTGAAGGGTTGAGCAAGGGAGAAGACAAATCCACGGTCTGCCCCCCTGCTGAACCACCTACCGCCTTGGAGCGATCAAGGTGCTAGGTTTTGGAAGACTTATGAGTTATTTAATTTTTCATGGTTTTATTTTCACGTTATGTTTTACATTGCTTTGTTTTTTGTTGATGTCTTTAGTTTTAGGTCTACAATAATAATTGACAATTCAACTAGATATTATGGGCGTTAGAAGGATATATTTGGTCAGTGATTGCTGTGTCACACCCGCTTCGTGGTTAGCGATTCATATTGCTCTTACACCCGCTTCGTGGTTAGCGATTCGCATTGCTCTAACATGGGTGATCATCACAGAGTCTAGCCATATGGTTGATAATGCTAGTTGGTTAGGGGATAGTTGTTGTCAGTGTTGGTCTTTTTGAGTTTGTTGTAACAATCTGATTCGTAATGATGTTAATATAAGCGTTTGTTTTTATGATAAAGAAATTACGTAGTATCAATGTTCTAAAAGGTGCTAGGCGCTAGTCAGGCGCCAGCCCAGTGCCTAGGCGGCTAGGCGGGGACAAATCGGAGACATAAATATTGTAGTTTTATCAATATTTTTACATAAATATAATTAGTAATGTTGTGTTTGTGCGTATACAAAAATATATATACACACATATACACATCAACATGCATGAATGGTAGAGTTGTCACATTTAATAATATATTATACCAACTCACTTACTCACTTGTAGTTTTCTTCATATGTGTTGTTAAAGTTAAAGTGCATATATCTCCTAGGATACTGAAATAAAAAAAGCTAAAAAATGTTCGATGAATTTAGATACTTAGGCAACTCATAAAGCGCTTTGGGCGGGCAAATAGGCACCCTACGCGGCCGACAAATTCACTTAGGCACCAAATCAATTAGGAGGAGCGCCTAGCTAGATAAAAATCGAGGTGCCCGGCCACCGCCTAGTGCCTAGGCGGGGACTAGTGGGGCACCTAGAGCGATATTTAGAACGGTGCGTAGTATAATGATTAAGTAATACTCCCTTTGTCCCAAATTAATTTGTGAAGTCAACATTTTTTGGTCTACCGATGTTAAAGTTAAATCCTCCATATTGATAATTAACTCAACTTTTAATGATTAAAATTTACATATTCAAAAACTACATTAAAATCTCTTCAAAATTCCAAACTCCAAATTAAAAAATAATTAAAAATTGACATCCTAATTAAGTGAATAAAATGAAACTGTTTGATCAAGAAAAGTCAATTTTGCAAATCAATTTTGATCAGAGGTACTAATAACTTGATATAAAAGTCGCACCTCTAGTGAATTTTATTAATTAATATGAAATTTTTAACAAATATATAAATCATGTGAGAAAATCACAAACTAAGATTTCATTGACTTGTAATTAATTTTGTAATTTGAATATTATACATGAATATTAGTTTTGGTAAATTATTTCATTTTGCTACAATATATTTATATTTTATAGAGAGATTTGTATTTTTAATCCCATAACTTTTGGCTATGACCGTTAGTATTCGTGCAACTTTACTTTCTATCAATTTCGGTCATGTAAGTAATACTGCGTATTTCTTTGCAATTTTTAGAGTTTGTTCACCTGAAAGTACATTTTACGAGAAAAAATCCGACGTTGGCGGCATATATTCAAATACTTTTTTTCACCCTATTTTATAATTTCGTACTTGTATTATATTCTGTCCTCCTGCACTCAAGTCTGGTTCCGCCCCGATCGCAACCATCTGAAGTGCAACCATCTGAAGTACTGAGGTGTTGCCAATTTTGATTCATATTTCAAAAAACGTAACTTTATTCACCCTTTACCACCCTCGAGAGACTTGCTGA